CTTGTAATAGCCTAAGTTTCTTTTGTGAGCCGTCTCACATTATCCATAAGGGCTCACAAAAGAAACTTAGGCTATTAGAAGACCACGAAGGGTCCAAATGACACACCTAGTCCACACACAAGATAGAGTAATAGCCCATACCCATACATAATATATAGCCTAACCATCTTAGCCTACTAGATAGGAGGTAACTAATCTCACTACTACTAGTCCCATCCCAAAGAGAAAAGACATCATAAAAGACACATTCTTCTCCTCTCTTGGCATCAAACACAAAAAGAGCTTCATTCTTGAAGAGGAGAAGGAGGAGGACGGGAAATAGGATAGTGAGATGGAGCGGAGGAATCACAGCGACGTTGGTAGACAAAAGCATGGGTTCTCTCCAAAATTTGAACACTTTGATCCAAAGCACCAACCCTATTGCTCAACCTTCCCACCGATGCATTCAAGCCCCCAATGTCCGTTCTCAAACCTCGCACATCCTCATACATGGCCTCATGCCCGGTGGTTTAACCTTTGAATGTTATCAATTAGGCTATTTATAGCCCGAGGCACTGGGTTGAAGTACTCATGAGGTTGCATTCCAAAGTATGCACGTTGGGGATGGAAAAAGGCATTAGGATCAAACCCATGAGGAGGAGGAGGTGCCACACTAGAGCTTATGCCTTGATCAAAAGTGGGTTGGCGCACTCGAGTGGATCTAGTAGTTGAGAGTTGGAGTCTTGGCTTGTATTGCTTCTGCTCCTTCAAATTGTTTCCAACATTTCCCAACTTGTTTTGGATCAATCTCATAATGTATGGTGCATAGTATATCTCTTGTCCAAAAGTTCCATTAGATGGCTCTCTTGCATCATGAGATTGATGACATCAAAGCATCGTCCCTCCATAATGGCATCAATCACATGCCACGCAACTCCTCGGATATCGTCATTGTTCCCACACCTAGGGAGGAAGTGGCTCTCACAATGCGGTTGACCACGCTAGGGACGGTCCTCAATCCCGCCACCTTCCCATAGTTGTGTTGCCCTCCATCCTAGTCCAAATACCATTCCTTTGCTATTATCACCAAATGTCACTTTCTCTTGTTCTTTCCCTCCTACTTCAAATGTGGTGAACATCGCCCTATCACCGATCATGTGTTGAGTGCACCAATTATCAAGCACCCAATGGCTCCCACCGGTGCGGTAGTTCACCTACAAAAGAAGATCAAGCTCTACCCAAACTTGTTTGGGTCCTTGGAGGTTAGAGACCAAAGCCTTGGACACCCAAATGACATTCTTTTTACCACCAAGTATAGGGAAACCAACATATCTAGCAACAATACTACCATCATGATCCTTCCTAAGCATATAATGAGAATCAAACATGCAAGTCTAAGAAGGCTTAGACCGGGGTAATCATTCAGCCTAACCTCACGGCACTTGGAGCAATACTTACCATTGCTCTTGACAAAACGAGTGGCACGGTGAAAAGGTTTCTTACCCTTCTTTGGAATGAATCCAAGCCCGCTCTAGACAAAACGAGTGGCACGGTGAAAAGGTTTCTTACCCTTCTTTGGAATGAATCCAAGCCCCTCCTTGTTAAGGATGCACTCTTACTCACTTAAAATCTTGTCAATAGTGTTCTTACCCATAAAGCATCTCTCCAAACTCTTGTTGAGCTTGGCCACTTGCTCTTTAAGCTCATTGTTCTCAACAACAAGTGAGGCATCACAAATAGAATCACAAGAGCTAGAGTTAGGCATATCCATAAGATCATCACAAGAAGTAGAGATGCTAGATGATGCAACATGAGTAATATAACAAATAGCATAATCATCAAGCTAAGTCACAAGATATGCCAACATCAATATGAGCTCCATGTTGAGTAATGGAAAGGAGGGTGTCATGAGCTTCCTTAATCTTCTCCTGAGAAATGGTGAGTCTCTCATGTGAAGTTTTTAGCTCCTCATACAAGACCTCAAAAGAAGCATGATCCTTCTTTAGAGCCTTGAACTTGACAATCTCCTTCTCACTACGTATGATCATACTCACAAGCTATCATAGGAAGCATCATCATGATCATCATCACTTTCACTATCACTAAGAGATGTTACCTTAAAAGAACCCTTTGCCATGAGGTAAAGTGAAGCGAAGAGTGATGGAGCCTCCTTGATAGCAACTACGGCCATCTTCTTCTTCTATTGGAGTTAGAGCCATTTCCTCTCTCATTTCTTCTTCCTAATAGATCATTGAACATTCTAGCAAGAAGAGCAATCTCTTCCTGCTAGTCATCATTTGCTTCATTCACCTTGCTCTTGCCCTTGTCTTCCACTTCGGCTTGGAGAGCAATGCACTTCTTGGATGGGGAGGCTTCCTCCATCTTCTTCTTCAACTTGTATACGTCATCGGTCTTGATCTTCCCCAAGAGGCTTGCTGGTGTCATCCTTGACATGTCGGAGTTGATGACGAAGGTGACTAAGTGCTCATACTTGTCCGATAGAGCCCATAGCATCTTTTGAGCCACCTCAATGTCGGAGTAGATTGCCTCAAGCCCCTTGAGATCATTGATTATCGCATTCAACATCCTATACATGTCATTGACACTCTAATGAGGCAACATGGCAAACGTCTCATATTGGATCTTGAGGAAATGAAGCTTTGCATCCTTGTACTCACTAGTGCCCTCATGAATCTCACTCAACTTGTTACATATCTCATATGCGGTCTCAAGGTTGTTCACTCTATCAAACTCCTCTTGGCTCAAAGAGTTGAACAATGCATTCATGGCTTGAGCGTTGAGTTGGAGGTTGCGGTGATCAGCTTCCGTTAAGGGGCTACCGGTGATGGCAAAACCTACATCCACAATACTCCAAATATGGAAGCTCATAGCCTTAAGGTGAGTAGACATTTTAATTTTCCAAGTGGAGTAATTTGTGCCATTGAACATGGGAGCCTTCCCTACATGGTTCACCTCGTTCGACATCTTCTCTCTAAGCGATGAAGCCCGATCAAGAGAAACCGAACTCTGATACCACTTGTAGGATCGGGATGTCAACTAGAGGAGGGGTGAATAGACGATTTAAAACTAAATGGCACTTAAACAAAACTAACCTAAGTTGTTAGACAAGGAGAGGTGCAAGGTTAACTAAGCAACTAAGTTAAGTTTTGCAAACCTAGGGTGATATGGGCTCAAATATATCTCTAGGAAAGTAAATCACACATCTAAGTTAAGTTTTGCAATCCTAAGGTGATATGGGCTCAAATATGTCTCTATGAATGTAAATTGCACAAATGTAAATGCAACAAATAAATGAGACAAGAGGCAAGAAATTTTTCACTGAGGTCCGGAGACTCGCCGCTTTCCTAATCCCCGTTGAGGCGAGCCCAACTCCACCGCTCAACCACGAAGCCACCGCATGCCCCCTTCGTCAAGGGGTGGGCAAGGTGGGAGCCAACACACGGAGAGAACTACCCAAGCCTTGATCACTAGGGTAGTTCTTCCTTCACTCCGAAGGTAGTGAACTCCAAACTAGTCACAATCGGCGTCGGGCCTCCTCCACAATCTCCTCAGAGAGGTCACCGGGCAACACCTCCATAAGTTGTCTAGGAGGCGCCAATTTCCAAGAGTAACAAGCAATGACGCGGCTCGGAGATGATTAAGTGTCACACTAGCTCTACAATAAAGCAATGCACTTGACTCTTGGCTCAACAATCTCTCAAACACAAGCCCTAGAGAGTGTGAGAGTGTGCAAGAGGTGTATGCAAGTGAAGCAAGCGCCAAGAGAGTCCCCATGCTGCTAGTGGGGGAGTATTTATACTCCCACCCACCAAAATTAGCCGTTGGGGGCGAAATCCCCCAACTCTGTGCACTGCCGATTAGACTGCCATTGTATGGCCGGTTAGACCAGACTATTTTGTAAGGGGCAATTATTGAGCCCCTTCAGACTAGCTGTTCAGACCACCATAGGGCGCCACCAGCTCGGTCAGACCGGCTGCGGCTCTGGATCGCCATCCCAGAGCACAGCCGCAAGCCACCAAGGGGCCAGTCAGACCGGGGTTTACCTGGCGGTCATACTGGCCATTACACTCCGGTCAGACCGGCTCAATGCCATAGGTCAGACCGGCCCTGGACAGAAACAATCTCAAATGTATATAAATTGGAAACGAGTTTAAATGCAAATGACCTAATGTGGCATTTTGATCATCTCTTTGTCTATAGGTCATTACCCCTCTTAATAGTACGGTGAAGCTAAAAATAAACTAGCAAATTTTGATCGCCCAACTCCTTGATCAATTTAAAATTAAAACACTAGTTTACCGTCTTCTTTTCCTTTTGCTTTGCGCCATCAATTTTAGTCCACGATAATCATCCATGAGCACACATTATGTGAACTTAACTTAAAATATAGAACGGTTAGTCCACAATTAGCACTTGTCATTAATTACCAAAATTATCAACGGGCCTAGATGCTTCAACCGCCGTCGTCGTTGACATGTGAGATGAGATAGGGAAGAGAAGGAGGGGATAGAGAGAAGAGAGATAGGAGAGCTGACATGTGGGCCCAAGGGCATTTTTGACATTTCACACAATTTCTCTCTCCTCTTCAATCGAAAATTATTATTTTAATGGATGCGGTGTCCACAAGCAAATATCCAACTTTTGGTAGTGTTTTCCCCCAAAAGTCACTTCGTGCCGTGTCCTACAGCTAAAACCGCGAAGTCACGATGTCCTATAGCAAAATTTGCCTTATACATATACACACATATCTAGCACTAGAAAGTAAACCAAACAACTCAGAAGTCGGAACGCATATTTTTGTTTGTTGCAAACCTTTTCATCATAGGCCAGGAATCCAATTACATAAGGGTATGGTATAGTGTATTGAAAATGGTTAATCTTGATCAGGTTTCACGTTGATATAGTTATAGTACTGCTAGTAAGTGATGTTTAATATGCTTGAACTCCTTCAATTTTCATGCTGGCATAGACACTTGGGTATTTATAAACTTGCTTTTCAGTCAGAAAGCCGATAAACCTCGAGGACTACACTCCTCCAGTTGAGCTTCTTCAGATATTACCCCTGAAGTCTACAATCCGAGGAAAGGATATTGGCCCCCAAATTGGTCCAAATAACTCGAAATTCGCCCCAGTATGTGTCTGATCTTTCCTTGGTATGCTAAAAGATACTCAATTATTGACCACTGTATTAAAATTTTGAATGCTTACTTTCCATTTTCTCTCCTGGTGAGCAGGGAATGCAAGCTTTACTAGATCTTCTTTTTGCTGTTGAAGGCTCAGTGTCAGAAGCAGCAAAACTTTTGGGGTAATCCTTGAAGTTCTGAATTTTATCCGTGAATTGAGCTAAAATTTATAGTTTATCTTCTATGCCGGCTCACAGCACGTACGTTCCATTCTGTTATTTACAATTAAGCCATACTAATTATGTTTTGCAGCCTAAGCACTGGTGCTGTGTCAAGGTTGATTCTATCAGATGATTCACTTCGAGCAGCTGCAAATGAACTGCGAGCTGCCAAGGTAACTCTGCTGCAAATAAGTGGCTACACCTGTCTATGTTCATTGAATAGAGCATAACACCCAGCACATTCCAACATATGCTTCTGGATTCACCAATCATGTAAACCAGAGTTGAACTGTGAGCTCATTGCCTAAACAGGGCCTGTTTGGCACAGCTCCAGTTCCAGCTCCACCCCTCCTGGAGCTGGAGCTCAGCCAAACAATTTCAGCTCCACCAAAACTGGAGTGGAGTTGGGTGAAGCTCTCTCACAAAATATATTAGAGTTGTGGAGCTGGGTTTTGGCAGCTCCACAACTCCACTCTAGACTCAACTCCTGGAGTTATATTTAGAAGTTGGAGCTGTACCAAACAGGCCCTAAAGCCCTGAACTCTAAGACAACTGCTGATCCATTACATGATGTCCAATATCACAAATTCTTTACAATTTTATAGTTAGAAAAATATTTCACCATAACCATGAATCTCTCTCTGCCTCCGTATGTGCCTGTGCAGGGTCTGAAGCCACTTAGATGATAGAGGATTGCCTGCATAATGTTCTCATCATCAATGGCGCCGCCGCAGGTTCCCAAATGGCATATCATATAATATAACTCATGAAGGCATTCTTGGGTGTTTGTCACGATTTCCCTTTCGTGCAAGGAAAAATACTCAGGATTGTCTTAGGTGGGACCGGTACCAGCTCTGGATGTTACAAGACCCTATCTATGGCTTCATTCTGTTATACATAGGCCTTATCATTCACAACTCAAGAACCATCCTTTTTCAGATGGATCTGCCTAACATGTCACCCTAAGGATGAATTCAGTTGTAATTAGCACATGAACCTACATTGTAATTTCCATGTATTGCCATTGCTTGATGCTGTCTTGAACAAATGAGCCATTTGTTGTATGTAGTATGAACTCAACAAAAACTCTTCCGTATCGAAAGAATGTTACATACAGGTCAGCTATCTGGTGTCTGGGCTACATGATAATATTCTGGGTTTTCAAAACTGTGGAAATGCGAAAGAATGATGCCTGACAATTTCGTACAGGTTTATCTAGAACCAAGTAGCAGTTAACCTTTTCTCTATCGGCTTTATTTCTCATTCATCAGGCGCTCAGCCAGGAGCAAGTCATCAGGAGTCGTCACCTGCAATAGATTCACATTTTGACAATCGATCTCTTCAAAGTTCAAACCTAGCAGACAAAAATATTAATGTTCAAAGAGCTAATTTGGAATACCTTTATGTTTGTGTAAGAGCCCTCTGTGATATAAACAGAGTGCTTCAGGTATTCTACAATGGACACGTCATCAGTGACCTCAAGTCCATCCCTGCGAAATGTAAAGTATGATCATCAACAAAAATTGAGAATCAGGATATCTCTGAATTCGATTTACCGAGCTAAGACAAGAAAGATAACCGTTTAACTAGCTCAAAACCATCTCTGAGTAAACTGGGCCTCATCACCTACAATGAGAACATTTCTTTGTAATTTCTGAAAGCATGAAACACTTTTCTTTTACAGATTACATAGAAAATAGTGTGTGCTTACCTGTGGAGTTTGCATTTCCCAAAGAGTTTTCCTATCAAGTGTTTTTACGACAAAAGAATTGCTGTCAGCCTGAAGAAGAAAGGTGAAAAGTATTACGCCCTCAAGCCTGAATATCAAGGTTTTACTGCACAATGAAAGTTCACTGAACACATTGGATAATTGTTCGATGAAAAGTTGCCAAAGATCTTTGTAAGCTCATCGAACTGATCATCATCTGGATGGTAAACACTCACCTCCTTGATAGTAGCTTTCACAGGCACACCAAGAACAGCAGCTCCGTGCACTATAGCATCTTCTAATACCTAAGCAATGAAATGAAAATCAATATGATTCCTAGCAGACTGCAAAGCACCTGGAGGCTAGAGCTATTCCCTTTTCCTATTTATAAAACTACCTGTGCATCAGAAGTTCAAAACATATACTAGTCAAGCCACAAAGACACAGAAAATTCTTGTTCTCAACAAAATACAGAAGGGTTGGGAATGGGGTAATTTGTTTAATATAAACATTGAAATTGTACATGTAGTCCATATAAACAAAATGTAGGTTGTAAATTGCAAGAGAGAGTGAATTTCTCGTTGGTTGATAGCTATGAAAGATGATTTATCAATATTCTAGAACAGCAAAGCACCAAAGGGAAACATCTGAAAACAACTTGATCACAGGAGGAGCTACCTTTTTGACATCTTCAGATGACACTAAGGGCCTTGCAGAATCATGTACACAAACAAGTTCAGAGTCTCCATCAATCTCCTGCAGAGGACACAAAACAAAGTTAGAACAGAAAGGAAATTATACCGTACTATATTTGTAATTTGTGTCCAAAGCAGCAACATAAAAGTGGGTTACTACTAACCTGTAGTCCATTATAAACAGAGTCTTGTCTCTCTTTCCCTGGGAGTGCAAATTTAATTGGTATTTGCACGTTTTCAATAGAGCCTGAGAAAGTGAACGATAACATGGCCACTTACTCAAACAATTGTAGTCGCAGAATTTGAAGTTGACAGAGTTTAAGTGATAAGCAGATAAAAGAATGGGTGAACACAGTGAAAATAGGATGAGAGTAGTCAGCTTAGGAACCTTCAAATATATCTTTGTAGTCTGGATCACACACCACTACAACTTCTTTTACTTCCTTCAGCTGACAGAATGTCTTTAAACTGCACGATACAATGTAGGAAGCCCATGTCTGAATCACATTGTAGGATGAAAGAATCCTAGAAGAGAGGGAAACTATGCTGAAGAAATGAACCTGTGCAGTGCAATCGGCAGCCCCAATAATGGTAGATATTGTTTTGGCATACTTGCCTGTTGCAAAAGGTGGACGAGAATTCAGACACAGCAGTCATTCTCTGCAAGGCTTCTTTCAGAAAAAATCACACTGGAAGGATGTGGTAACTTAAATGCCAAATAACAAAGCACATTTCGTTGCACACATCTAATATTGAACAAGAAACTCTGCAGTCTGTTCCATTCCTAACATTCCGTAGGATGAACAACCTTGCCTAATTCCTAAAATGAACTTTTCTGTAAAAATTCCGACAAATAGGAGTTTCAGCGATAAAATAAAAGCTATTCTGAGTAAACAGCAAGCCGTAACAAACCAAGAACAGCCCATTAATACGAAATGAAATCTATCCCATTCGAACGGGCAAGCTCAAATTCATTTCCCAAAATGATGAAAGGGGCGAGCCTAAACCAAAGCACAGGATGCATTATCAGCTAGGGGCATCGATTATCAAACGAAACAGCCATTCAGATCAAGTTTCAGAGCAGAGGAGAGAACAATACCCCCATTCTCTTCCCCTGCCCGCCGGACAAGAGCACCACCGAGACGCTCCTCTCCTTCACGGCCTCACCCTGACGAAACCCAAAAAAAAAAAAAAAAATCCCCGCGTCGTCAGTACAGCACTTTCACTTGGTCAACTCGAAAAATCGCGGAAGCAAGCGCGCGGTGCCACATCGTCCCACCTGCGCGCCGTCGGCTTTGGCGGCGCAGACAGCCGAACCCCATTTCCTCGCGTGCCGCCGCGGAGCAACCGCACAGCTCCCACCTGGGCCACGACAAGAGCGACCCACACAAAAAAAACAAACCGAAGGCATCACATCAGCACGGCAAGCAACGAGAATCCCCAAACCGGAGCTCCGCGAGTTGAGCGCCATGGCTCCCGTACGGTATCGGAGCGCGGGTCGCAGCATGCGGGACGGAGAAGCGGAGCCGACAGGGGGAGGCCCGGAGGCGATCCTTACCGGTCCGGAGGCGGCGGAGCGCGAGATTGGGCGACGGCGACAGCGGCGGCGGCGGATGCGTCGTCGGGGCGGAGGCGGGCGGCGCGTGGAGGCGGAGGCAGAGGCGGAGCTCCATTTCGGGGAGTGGCAGGTAGACTGCGAATGGGAGAGGCGGAGAGGATGGTGGCGACGGGCGGCACGGAACGGAGGAGACAAAAGGTCGTAGATGTGTGCGCTCTGGTCAATCTGCGCCGTCCACATGTTCTTGATTTTCCATCACATGGAGTATCATTTGAATTCAATCACGTTTACAAAGTTTTTCAGATTAATGTTTCCAGGTAAAAATTTTACATGCGAAAGTTGTGGTGTGTATTAACAAAAAAAAAAAGAAGTATATGTTTTTTTTTTGACTCACAGTGTGAAGTTCTATTGATAGAGCAGGAAAAAATTACAAGATTACAACCCTAGAGGGTCGTAACCAGGAAAAAGGAGAATAAAAACCACCACCCACACACCGACGGCGCCAACACACACGACCGGAGAAGGTTAGCACCGGACCGGCCGCCGCTAGACCAACAACGGAACACGAACGAGATCGCCCTACAGCAAGGGGGTGCCAAAACGACATCTTCAATAAGAGAAGCGACAGAAAAACCGCCGCCGCCGTCCGTCAGGCTGAGAGCCAAGACTGGGCTTTTGCCCGGCAACCACCCTTGAGGAGTGAGACAGCACGACAACGCCCTCAGGAGGGGGAATTAAACATTGTTGTCGGTCCGGCCAAGGCCGGGCTGGGTTTTCACTCGCCGCTCATCACCTGCGAATCCACTGCTGACGCACCGATGCTCCACCACCACTCAAACTCTACCGACATGTGGGGCCCCTGCACCGACGCCCCCCGTCGGCCAGCCTTCATGCGCCGAAGAACGCGCCACACCCACCAGCAGCTCCACCACGCACCAAGGTCGCCTCTTCCACCGCCGGCCGCGCCTCTCGCGCCAAGCCGGCCTCCTCCACCGGACGCGCCTCTCGCGCCAGTTCGGCCTCCCTCCATCGGCCGCGCCTCTCGCGCCAAGCCGGCCTCCATCTCCGCCGCCCGCGCCTCTCGCGCCGAGCCGGCCTCCACTGCCATCGGCTGCGCCTCTCTGCGCCAAGCCGGACTCGACCTCTCCTCCAAACGCCGCCACGCCGGTCCAATGCAGCCGTCTACCACGCCCTTGGCTAGCCGCCCGAGGCCGCCTTGCCTCCTTCCACCTCAGGCACGGTCGCCACCACCGGGCCTCCTCCCTCCACAGCCACGGTCACCACCGTGCCTCCTCCCACCGCCGTCACAAAGTCACCATCGGCAGCCGCCAACTGCTGCTGCCGCCGTCGTCGTCGGCGGTCGCCATCCAGCCACTGCCGCCGCTAGCTGCTGCCGTCGTCGCCAGCCACCATCGCCGACAGCAGCTGCGCCGCCGCTGTCGGCCATCACCATCTCCAGCTACTGCCGCCGCCAACTGCTGCCACCGCCGCCGTCGGCAGACGCCATCGAGCCACCGCCGCCGCCGTTGCCTATTGCCATCGCCAGCCAGGCCGACCACCGTCCGGCCGCACACCACCGCCGCCGTCGCCAGGCGCCACTGCCGACGCCCCCACCAGTGGACGCCGTCGCCGGCCACCACCCCACTAGATCCAGGCGGATCTGGAGGTCTCCTCCGTCATCGCCCCACCTCCGACCACCGTCGCTGCACCTTTAACCGTCGCCGCCAGCACGACCGCTCGGCCCCGCCGCCGCCGACTGTCTCCACGCCAGATCCGGCCGGGAGGCACGGATCTAGGCGATTTCCGCCGCCCCGGGCAGTCCCCCTCTACCCGAGCGTGGTGCGAAGACGAAGCCCCGCCGCCGCCATCCTTGCACCGCGCGGCTTTGCCGGCGGTCGCTCGGGCGGCGGCGAGGCGGAGGAGGGAGGAGGGGGAACGCGCGTCGGCGGGGGCGTCGCCTCCCGTGTTGCCCAATGGGAGAGGCGACGCGAGAGTCAGTATTTATTTTTAGTGGTAAAAGTTTTTAAAGTATATGTTGAAAACACAGCTATGCGGAGCAGTCTTCGTCAATCATTTGGTTTCAGTCTTCGTAAATCAACTGGTTGCTCCGGTACGCAGATGTGTTTTAGGTTGCGTTCTTTTGAACACTTTCTTAATTTTTACTTGCTCGTTTTTCACGTGTATGTTTTTTAAATTAGTAAAATAATATATTTTAAAAATCTACATAGAAATGGTGTTTTAAAAATATTACTGATTATTTTAAAAGTTTTTAATCAATATATTTAATTAATTATACAGTATTAATTTATCGTTTCATTTATGAACGAACGCAGCCTGAAAATTTTAATGGGCCGCTGAGGTTTTGGGCCTTACAAAATTTCCTTATGTAATTCACAGCCCAGTTTGTAAGCTGGCCCAGATTCTCTTTTGGAATGATTTGTAGGGTGTCGCCAACACTTCGCTTTCTCCCTGTCAAAAAAAAAAACACTTCGCTTTCTCAGTAGCTCGTAATCTTCTTCTCCTTGGCTTTTGTTCAGTGAAAAAGAACGAACATTACACCACGGACAACACGTCAACACTGAACTTTCAGCAATGCAATGTTCTTCGAGAACATTCTTAAATCGGGGAAAAAAACACATCACAATTATTACCGAGCACCTCTATGTACATTGTACAGGATGGGTTCCGTTTCCATATGGACATAACTCTCCATTGAAGGAAAACCTCAATCTACAGTTGCCCTAAGAAAGGTCGAAAGAAAGGGAAACATCTCAAAGACCGCCAGATCCGCATAAATAAACAGCTTCAAAGACTGACAAACTCTGCACCCTAACGCATAAAACCGGTTACAGTAGGGCGGCTAAGCCAAGCGAACAACACAGCAGCAAACATAAACATTTGTGCCTCTGATATGTGCAAGCTAACGGCTGGAAATCTGGAATCCCCTTGCTGCCCTTTGGGTCCTGTCCAGATTTCTTAATCTGCGTACCTGCTCTGGTGCATAATTTTATTCTGCACTTGTGGTATTCCACCTGCTGATGAGATTGCCAGGTGCATTGCTCTCTCATGGTTTTGGTAAGCTTTGGTGCCAACCAAAACGGGTTTTCATGGCATGACAGGATGACTGGTTCATACTTGGTGCTCGGGCCCAACATTTGTCAGTTCAGCTACTACAAACAACCGAGCATCCCGTCTAGCTGAGAAGTTAGTCTGAAAGATATTGCCATCCCAGTAACAGTAAAATCATTATGGCCTTGCAGGACACAACCGAGCTTTCCCAGGGTTGAGCAGTGATTCTGACATTATCCAACCCTGAGGTACAGAAAAGAGGATGTTGTTAAGTCATGCAGCAACCGTTTCATTCAAGTGGCTTATCCACAATTATATCTAGTAGTTGGGATGCAAGGGTCAGTATTTATCACAAAGACAAGGAATAGTACCTGTTCTCTAGCTTTCTTCTTGAAAGTTCCATAAGAGGAAGAAACAATTTTGCAGGACTCAGCTATGTGTGCCATGAAATCCATGTTACATGGGTTTCCATAAGGATCTGATCTCCTGGAGTTCATCTGCTTCCGTGCATGTGACGCATTGATGAAATGCAGTAATACATGAGCCTGTACAGCAGAACGCCATGTTAGAATAAAGGATAAACAATAAACGGGGCCAAAAAACCCTTAATGCAGTGAGGACAGGTGCTTACATGGAAAGCCGCTTTGATAATGTCATCTGACTTTGCTTGATCCTTGAGCAAAGCATATACCTTATCCTTTGCGGGGTTATATGTTACCATGTATCTCTCATCCTGTAAGTTAGATATATGAAGGAAATATTTCATATGCCCAGATATAGCCGACCAGTGAATGAAATGACACTCTTTAAGAGGGAAACAGAAAATGCAATGTCTTCTGTGGGTTTGTGTTTATGTGCTGGTGGTCAAGGAACTAAGGATGTACCTCAAACAATGGCCGTATGGCAACAAATGAAGCAGGTTCTTGAAACGCTTCTCCAAATCGTGATCCTGAAAATTAGTTATGCATGGACAATGAAATGCCATCCAATATGTATCAGAATTCAAGAATGATTGCAATCAGAAGCACTGGTACAAACCTATTGCAACTGGCTCATGCCGCCAAGGTGGATTAAATATCGTCTCCTGTGAGTTCCCTTCCTTCAATGAGGGGATATGCCCTGGACCACAGAGAATTAGATATTAAGTATTTGACAGAATAGAATAAAAGCAAAGTGCCTAAACAGGACACCTATTTAATTTTATATGAAAAGGACCAGATTCAGTTTCAAGCTCAGCATTTGAAGACTTATTTTTCTTAGATGATAGTGGGCCACCACGCTAGATATGAAAAAAACTTATGTCCATACTTCATAGCAGTCTCATGTATTTGACCAAAAGAAATTTTATACTGTGGTGTGCCATATGAATATGATTATGTAAATATCATTTGGAAGATTGTTTGTATTGTCCCACAGAAAGGCACTGCTTCATTGACTCAATAAACAATTAAGGATCAATGTCGCACTTCCCACAACAACCAAAAGAGAAGTTTTAGACTCACCAGTTTTAATGAAGGAATCCACCGCAACAGTAAACCTTGCTCTGTTTAAAGTATTTAGCACGACCGATCTCACCTGGTAAAAGGAATGGAACCAACATATGTTATAAAATCTTCCAGAGTTCAAGAAAGCACTGAAACAATAACTTGAAAGAATGAATGCGAACCTCATGATATGAACTCCAAAGATAACCACATGAAAGGAAGGCAAATGAAGTCACCAATGATGGATTCCGTTTTGAAATGAAGATGCTCAAGCCAGTGCCCAGCTTCATTTAAAATAACAAGGCAAAGTCAGGATAACTGCTGAATTAAGTATAGTAGTATGAGACTAGTAACATTCCAAAGTGAGTTAAAAAACATTCTGCTTGTTCTGTATGTGTATTGCCATGCAGTGGCATCAAATAAAAGATACTTGCGGGTAACTTATGCTATCGAAGCAGAACTTTCAGCTGCATGTACAATTGCAGGTAACAGGGCAGACACAGAAGAACATATAGTGTGAGGTAGACAAACACAACTAGTTCTCCATACTGTAGATTTCGTACAAAAATTGCAAATTACACTTCCATTCAGTGTAACAAAACATCTACAACTATAGGCTATATGCACAATGGGCA